AATATATATAATATTATTATATACTATAATCGAGACGTCAAAATCAAAACGGTCCAAAGTGTGGTGTCACTTTACAAAATAAGATGCAGAAACTTCCACGTACAACAAATGCTTTAAGAATATTTGGTGCAAAGACAAATTATTACTGGTTTTAAGTTAATAAGTTGGTCAATTTCAAGTTTGACTTTATCTCAGAAATAGTTATTGCTTCATAAACCTGTGTGAGTGTGTGTGTTTTATTTATTTATTTTTAAAGCACCGATTGAAATACCATTTAGGAACCTGTACCATTCTGAAAGTATCGATTTGGCACCAGTATCGATTTAAACCCTTTCAATACCGATCCCTAGTCAGGTGCTACCTGGCTGGCAGGCGTCCTAGGACGCCATGGTGGTGAGCGCAGGTAATCTCTCCATGTTGACGCCAAGACATGGCATCAAAGTGAGTGCCAGCGCTCAGTGCAGCATGGAGGATGTTTGCCTGGCTGTAGGTGAAGTGATTGGACATGGGTCCATAAAATCTGCAGCTCGCATGAATGGGGCTGTGGTGTTGTTTGTGGAGAAAGTGGAGCAGCTTCAACAGCTGGTGGAGGCGGGGAGTATCATCAGTAGATGATTTGTTTTTTCAAGTATCGCCACTGACGCTACCTGCAACAAAAGTCATTTTGTCTAACGTCCCTCCGTTCATTAGTGATGATTTCCTGATTAAAGAGCTGTCTCGTCATGGAAAAAAGTGTCTCCTGTTAAAAAAATTCTGTCGGGGTTTAAATCACCCCTGTTAAAACACGCTGTCTCTCACAGAAGGCAGCTTTACGTGGTTCATGGACGCAATGAGGAGCTTAATGTGCGCTTTCATGTTAAACTCGATGATTTTATTACATCCTGTTTGCAACATCGTCTAACATGAAGTGCTTTGTATGTGGTCTGGAGGGACTTATTGTAAAAATCTGCCCTAACAAGGCTGGGCCGGCCCCGCAAGATTCAGGCTGCTGCTGCGCAGGTGGGAGACCCAGCTGGTCTGAGTGCGACAGCGGAGATGTCCACTGCTGCAGGGGAACCCCCTGCCACTGTCTCAGGACGGCCTGCCTCCGTCACTGCGGGGGAACCCCCCGCAGGACAACCTGCCTCTGTCACTGTGGGGGAACCCCCCGCAGGACAACCTGCCTCTGCTGCTGCGGGGGAAAACCCCACCGCTGTTGCGGGACAACCTCCCCCACAGCGTGTAAAAAAGTTGTTGAGGTGCCAGCTGTGGACTGTGGAAAAACAAAAACTGGTGTGTGTGTGGATAATGGTGACAGCACAGGGGTGTGTGGTGATGGGGAGAATGTCAGTGGTGAGGTTGAAACTCAAGGTGAGGTGGGAGAGGGGAAAAGAGTGTGTGGAGATCAAAAGGGTAAGATGAATAATGAAGTAAAATGTGGAGATCAAGGAGGGAAAAGAGAGGAGCAGGTGGATGGAGAAATGAAAGGTTTAGGGACTGTCAGTGCAGACATGGTTTTTGGAGCTGGTGTGGAGAGACAGAAGCTGAAGAGGTGATGGATCAGGAGGCTTCAGCCCTGTTAAAGAGACAGAACAAATGGAAAAAATGTTGTGGATGCTGTACAGGCCAGCAAGCAAACCAGTAAAATTGTTGTAGAGAGGGAGGGTGGGGGCGTAAGATAGTGATAGTGAGTGTTGTTTTTCTGATACTAGCGAAATATCAATCTCTCAAACCAGCAATAAAGAGCCAAGATATCCTGTAGCATCCCTTTTCACTTTTCTCCAGGTAACAAAAAGTTTGAGAGGGGTGAAGGTTGAGAGTTATTTTCCTGATTTGAGAACATTTTATTTTTCAGCCGGACACCATATTAGACACAAGGAGGAGGTAGGTTTTACCGAGCAACAAGTTTTCAGACTGAAAAAAGTAATGAGTAAAGTTAGAAAGTGTAGTGTCTAAGAGTGGGGGGTTTGTCTCAGGAATGCACAGATGTGAGGCCTCTGAGTTTCAGCTTCAGAGCTTGGCACATATTACCATATTTGGAATGGGAATGCCTAAGGTATACCGTGAAAAAAATAATGAGGCCTCTGTTGAACTACAATATGAAACCTATAAAAGAGCCTTTTATGCCCCTGTTCTTCGCCGTTGTTTCTCCATCTTTCTTACTTGGTGATTCATTTGGCTTGGAGGCCACAATTTGGTTTTTTCAGGCTGTATCTCCTGAACTGCAAAAATAAAGGTTCTTGCTGTTCAAACTAGCCTTGTTTTCAGAGTCATTTTTCATTGCGCAAACAAGCAGTTCAACTTCAACCAGAAAACGTGGTTTTCTACACCTCATTTAATGGCGTCACGAGACAGAGGTCCTGTGCTCCAGTAAACACCACCATCGCACTGAACCATTTTCTGCAAGCCGGCTAAAAGGGTGAGTCATTTTTCACCAGACAGAGAATACTTCGGTGGGCGATGTTGGTGTTGGTGGGGGCTTGACCTAAAGTTTCTGTTCGGGGTTTTAAGTGGACTGTTTGTTGCTCGGAGGAAGAACTCTGGGTAAATTCTAAATTTTTGTGGAACTTTTCTTTTTTTCTTTTTTGCACCGTTCCGTTGTGTAGTTTGCATTGTGTTGGGGAGTTTTCTCTCTGAGGAAAGACTGTAGAGTGCTGGGTAAACATTCCTAAAGTGAGTTATTGACTGTTTTTCACCTCAGCTGTGCCTTTTCTCGGTGTGTGCATGCAGGCATTTGTGTGGTTTGAGCCACTAGTTTAGCGACCAGGTGTAGATTTGGGGTATACAGAGAGGATGCAGCTGTTTATTCTTGTTTTGATTTATGAAGTGAGGCATGCGGAAAGATGAGAATCCATGACAGGGAGGTTTTTGCAGGGCTTTTGATTTACTGTCCTACTTTTGCCAGCCAGCGCTTGGTTTTTCCATGGCCATAGGAAATATCTGTAATTCGCTAAAGAGTGAAATGTATGCATTTAATTTATAGCCCATTTTAAATTTAGATAAAGTTGAAAATAGGATTGATTTGGACGTTTTGCAACTCGGCTGTTCATGTGGAATGTGACTGCAGTATTTTTTTGTTTTTTATTGTT